ACACCTGTCAGAACAGATAAAATCAATAACACAAGAGACAACAGATGCTGGTGAGGATGCGGAGAAAGGGCAACCCTCTTGCACTATTGGTGGGAATGCAAACTGGCACAGCCAATCTGGAGAACAGTATGTAGGTTCCTTAAGAAGTTAAAAATAAAAAAGTACACCTCTTTGTTGCTCTCTCCTTCTCAAATAAAATCTTTAAAAAAAAAAAAAGAAGTTAAAAATAGAGCTACCCTACGACCCAGCAATTGCACTACTAGGTATTTACCCACAAGATACAGAAATACTAATTCAAAGGGATACATGCACCCCAATGCTTATAGCAGTATTATCTATAATAGCCAAAGTATGGACACAGCCCAAGTGTCCATTGACTGATGAATAAAGAAAATGTGGTATACATATATACAAAGGAATGTTACTCAGCCATAAGAAGGAACGAGATCTTTGTCACTTGCATTGACATGGATGCAGCTAGAGGGTATCGTGTTAAGCAAAGTAAGTCAGAGAAAGACAAATACCATATAATTTCACTCATGTGTGCAATTTAGCAAAAACAAACAAAGCAAACAAAGAAATGGACTTTTAACTACAGGGAACAAAGTGATGGTTATCAGTAGGGAGGTCGGTGGGGGTGTTGGGTTACATAGGTGATGGGGATTAAGGAGTACACTGATTGTGATGAGCACTGGGTGTTGTATGGAAATGTTGGATCACTATATTTATATCAAAACTAATATTATACTGTATGTTAACTGGAATTTAAATAAAAACTTAATAAAAAAAGAATTTCCATCTCTCTACTTACATTAATGTATTCTTACATGTTTCCTTTTCCACTAAAATCCTCAGCATTATTAATCATAGTATTTGAAAATTCCTGCTTTGATAATGTCAACATTCCTGCCGTATCTGATTCTGGGTCTGACGTTTACTTAAGTCACTTCAAACTGTTTTAATTCTATTTTACTTTTTTGCCTTTTAGTATTCCTTGTAAATTTTTATTGCAAGGTGAACATAATGTACTGGGTAAAAGAAACTACAGTAACCCGTCCTTTAGTAATGTGGTTGTAAGGAATAGGGGAGTAGAAGCATTCTATGGTCCTATGATTAGGTCTCAGTCTTTTGGTGTGCCCCTGGACTATGACCTTTACTAGTGCTTCTCAGTGTTTTCTTTCCTGTAGGTTGGACAGGACAGTTACAGGGGGCTGGAGTTGGGTACTTCCCTTCCCCCAGGGAAGTCTGGCTTCAATAAAACTCCAGTAGGTTAGATTCTGGTGAAATAGTTTCTACTGAAGGCCCATCTGGTGAAGAAAAACAATGCTCTCACATATTTCAAAATGGTTCCTCTCTCCAGCCCTTCCAGAAGCACAAAGGGATTTTTCTCCAATCTCAGTGAGAACCCGAGAGAACTCCTGGAGTTAAACTTGAAAAAGTGAAGAAGGGTCCTTATAACTGGGTCCATTTAGAGGCATTTAACTCTCATAACTGTTCACACTCAGCCTGTAGCAATTCATCAATTAAAGTTTAAATTTCTTATCCCCACACTCATTCCCATGGATGTTCCTTTGTGTGGATCTCTGCTCCAGTAAATTGTGATTTTCTGTATCTCCCTGTCTATCTCTCCTATTTTTGGTGTAGACATCTGCCCTATGACCTCACTTCGTTAATGGATCTAAGAATTGTTTATCTTTCAGTTTGTTCAGCTCTTTACTCTGCACTGACAACTTTTTTTTTTTTAAAGATTTTATTTATTTATTTGAGAGAGAGAGAATGAGATAGAGAGAGCATGAGAGGGGTGAGGGTCCGAGGGAGAAGCAGACTCACTGCTGAGCAGGGAGCCCGATGTGGGACTCGATCCCGGGACTCCAGGATCATGACCTGAGCCGAAGGCAGTCGCTTAACCAACTGAGCCACCCAGGCGCCCTGCAGTGACAACTTCTAAACTCACTTCCCAGACCAGAAACTAGAGTTCTCTCTTCATTTCATGTTTTTTCATTTTTATGGTATTGCTGTGCTTTCTGTAGTGTCAGTTCTTTCTTCAGCCCCTTGTCATTTGGACTTTATTTCTGAAGTGATTTTTTCTTGTCCTTCAATTTCTTTTCTTAGTTCTTTCAGTTCTTATTTCACATCATCTTATCGTCTTGCCATCTCTTTTCTGGGTTCCTTTTATTTCTGCTCTGTGATACAATTGCTTGATTAAGTTCCAAAATTAATGCTGAAATGCTGCAATTCTTCTCCACATTGTAATGGCATTTTCCTGGTGTTTTTTTCTTCTTCCACTGACAAAATTTGATATTCCTTTGTTTCTAATATTACGTATACAACTGAATTTTTTCTTAAGTTTGAATTAGGTGAATTTTTCTGAATCAACTATTAACAGGAGGACTCTCTAAAAGAGGGAAAATGTTAGGATAGCTTTCCCCGTTTTTTTTAATCTCAAGGGCATCCTCTTCTTACTAAGTGACAGTTTATTTGTATATGGTGACTTGTGGTGACCAGATTTCCTTTGATTCTCATATCCTTATTTGTTTCACAAGGGTTCCTACCACTGACTCACTGACGTTTCCTTTCTGACTACACTACCAGCCAGTGCCACCAGGGATGAAGTTCCTGCATAATGCTGTTTAAAAAAATTCTATAACATCTGTTCCCTGTATGCTCTCCATACCATTTTTCTCTGCCTCTCTTCCTTGCCTACTTCGTGTTCAGATATGCCCTCAAAAATTCCCCCAGAGGGTGTGTCTCATCCTTCTGAGAATAATTATTAATTGATTTGGGAGAGGGGGAAGTGCAGAATACATTTTGCCACCCATGGGTCATTTGGCTTCCTCACCTGGACACCACTGTCACTTTCTACAGTTATTTTGGATTCTATTTGTTTTTCATACATTATTATTTGGTGTATTCTCTATCTCACAATTTTGCTAAAAAAAAATAAGTTGTGGGTGCTTTATTCATTCTTCGTGTACTGTACAGTTTTAGGAGAAAAGATAGGAGGTATGGGTGTAAGTAGATTCCATAGTGCTACCTGAATCCCAAAGCCCTAAATATTATTTTTAACCATTCACACCAAATACCTCCACGATGGCTCTATCATTGATTCCAAAAGATGACAACAAATGGGGATTTTTAAGAAATACTGATTCTTGGACTCCTCTGCCAGAGATCCTCATGTAATCATTCTGGGATGGAGGCTGATAATATATTATAAAGCCCTCTGTTTCTGATGCATAGCTAATTTAGAACCTAATAATCATGGACTTAAAACCCCTATTTCAACAAGAATTTTTTTTTTTTTTAAAGATTTTATTTATTTATTCATGAGAGTCAGAGAGAGAGAGAAGCAGAGCGAGAAGCAGGCTTCCCCACTGAGCAGGGAGCCCTCAACAAGAAATGTTTTAAGTAAAAGACTTTTTAGGGGAAATCTGTGGATTTCCCCTAAAAGTTATTTTTCCTTTAAAAATATCCTTGGGGCGCCTGGGTGGTTCAGTCAGGTTGAGCATCTGCCTTCAGCTCAGGTCATGATCTCTACGTCTGGGACTGAGTCCTGCATTGGGTTCCAGTCCTGTACTGGGCTCGCTGCTCAGTGGGGTGTCTGCTTCTCCTTCTCCCTCTGCCCCTCCCCCCAGCTGACGCTCTTTCTCTCTCTCTCAAGTAAATAAAATCTTAAAATAAATAAATAAATATAAATAAAAATATCCTTCTTTGCTTTTTACTTCAAGTTAGCTAAAATTATCTTGGGGCTCCTGGGTGGCTCAGTCAGCTGAGCATCTGACTCTTGTTAAGCTCAGGTCATGATCTCAGGGTTGTGAGATCGAGCCTTGTATCAGGCTCTGCACTCAGCAGGGAGTCTGCTTGAGATTCTCTCTCTCTCTCTCTCTCTCCCCCTCTCCCCCTCCCCCCACTCACAGGCACTCTCTCTAAAATAAATATTTTTTAAAAATCCTTCTTTGCATTTTAATTCAAGTTAGCTAAAATTATCTGAATTTACATTTAAGGTAAATTTCCTTGGCTCTGTAAGTTGAACTAGCTCCATGTCTTTCTGAGTTTAATAGTTTTGAAAAATTTAATTTTAATGTCATTATGTAAATGTTGTATTCATAACAGGGAAATACAAATAAAGCATCACAGAAATAAATATAAAAATGAACACAAAAAAAAGATCAGGGCCATCATGTTTGGTTGTGCACTGCAAAAGCAGGTATCAATCAGTTCTCAGTAATTCTAACATGAATACTTATGTCTATGCTGTTCATTGACTACACTATAAAAACTTAACAAGGGCTGTAAATGAATATGTAAATTGTTATTAGCAGTAACCATACTGCAGTCTCATCTCTCAGAAGAAGGTCTTTTATTTCTTTTATACTCCCTGAATAGTTATTACAATGTTCGGGCTATATGGTAAAATAATAAGAATGTAAAGAATAGTTAAGGCAAGCTAATTTTGAAATTAAGTTTTTTGATGTAATGTGTACTACAGGTTGCTTATTCAATTATTCACTAAATTTATTCAAATTCAATATCAAACTTATTCAATTATTATCACTAAATTCAAAATCGAAATCTTTATGTGTACAAATGAGTCAAATGAGTACAAGCAATGGGTTAAACAGTTATGCATAATGGAGAAATCACATACTACAGCTTGTCCCAAAGATCAAAGTAATAAAGGCAAACAAAAAACTGACTGATATATATATATATATAACTGATATATTTATATTTGACGGGGATGAAAATTATGCATTTTCATAGATACCCATATATTAGGTCATATATGCTATAAAAATATGACATACTACACATCAAACTTCAAGCAGAAAATATTTCTTAGAAATAAAACTCCAAAGCACTCATCACTGAAGAAGTTCAAGATATCATTTGAAGGGTATAAAACTTTACTATTTTCAAAGAAGAAAAATTTTAATTCAAGTCTTATAATTACAAATCCAAAATAGAACATACCAATTACTTGTATCCCACATTCTCACCTGTCCAACCGGTATAAGCAGAGCAATCATGTGGGTCGGCTGTCTTCAGCCCCTCCTCCATTTGCTGTAAAAGATCTTTGATTTTGGTCTGGATTCGCCTTGTGAAATTATGAATGATCTGAGAACGAAAAGAATACAGAAATTTATATTGCATAAGAATAGAGCAATATTATAATAAATACTTAAATAATCTAAGATGTCAGAACGTAAGAGGTAGAAATTATATTACCTGGCCCATTTCGATGCTTCATTGGTGTCTACCTTGATTTCATAAGGTAAGTGTTTAAATGAGATAATGCCCTATATGGACTATAGGCATTGGTAGGATTACAAAAAATAAGTTGCAGAAACCAAAGGAAATAAAAATTAAAAAAAAAAAAGATGGATTTGACTACACAAACATGTTAACTTCTGTAAGTTAAAGAATGTAAGAAAGATGGCTTAAAAATTAATGACAAGGGGGAAACATCTGCAATATAAAACATTATAAGTAAAAAAAGACCACAACAATACAGAAATAGACCTAAAATTATCAATGTACCTTAAAAAAAGAAAAATATGAAATGACAAACATATGAAAAATGTTAAATTACTTAGCAATTAATGAAATGCAAATAAATATAAGTACCACAGTTTGCCTTATCAGATTAACAAATAATAAAAAAATTTAAAAATATTAAGTCCCAAGGCTGCTAAGAGCTAAGGAAACAAGTATTCTTATTCACTGGTAGCCTTTCTCAAGAGAAATTTAGCAGCATTCTTAAATAAGTAGTTGATAGTGTTCAGATTTTTTTTTTTTTTAAAGATTTTATTTATTTATTTAGCAAGAGAGGGAACACAAGCAGGGGGAGTGGGAGGGAGAAGCAGGCTTCCCGCTGAGCAGGGAGCCTGATGTGGGGCTAGATCCCAGGACCCAGGATCATGACCTGAGCCGAAGGCAGACACTTAATGACTGAGCCATCCAGGCACCCCATTAGTGTTCAGATTTTTCTGTCTTTGATGATTTCTGAAAAATCTAGCTGCGAGAGAAACTGCTGAGATATATTAAAATCCATGACTATGATCGTGGAATTTTCTATTTAACCCTTTACTATTTTTTGCTTTCATGTATTTTGTAGTTCTGTTATTAGACACAAATTTATGACTGTGCGTCTTACTGAAGGACTGACTTGTTATAAAAATGTCCCTCTATGAGACTATGGAGAAAATGTTTTTGTGTTACCACACAGTTTAGGGCTTTCAGGGCAAATTTTCCTGAAACTTGGGATTCTAGACTAAAAGCAACCCTTAGGAATTAAGTTACAATTGTATACACTGTAAGAAGTCCAGAGAGGTTTACTTAACCCTGGAGGTATGTGTTTATATTTGACGGGGATGAGGCCTTAAAACAGGGAGACATTGGGCGCCTGAGTGGCTCAGTTGGTTAAGCGACTGCCTTCGGCTCAGGTCACGATCCGGGGGTCCTGGGATCGAGCCCCGCATCGGGCTCCCCCTGCTCTGCGGGGAGCCTGCTTCTCCCTCCGCCTCTGCCTGCCACTCCCCCTGCTTGTGCTCTATCAAATAAATAAATAAAATCTTTTAAAAAATTAAAAATAAAACAGGGAGACATTTCTGAGTTGTATAACTGAAGAGTAACGGGCTTATCTTTTTCACAGAGAAATCGATTTACATTCCAAAGACTTAGAGTATGATATTTCTAATCAAACTCTCCCAGAAGGAGAAGGGAAGACAGTTGCCTCTTTTCCATTTGTAAAAAGCAGAGAAAAGTTACTTTTCTCCATTATTTGCCTACAATACACAGACGTTGCGTATGGAGGACATTTGGCATAGGTTTCATTGTGTTGCCCCACAGGGAAGACCTGAGACACATGGAACCACTCACTGGTTATGGTCTGATAAATAATAAATCTCTGATCCAGAAACCTCTTGTGTACATTCAGGAAAAAATTAACAGATAAAGATCAAAGACCTAAACCAGAGTGACATCAGCATCACTGCAGCATTAGGATTAGGCATCCCTTGTTTTTTGTCCTCCCTTTAACAAAAATTAGGCATCCATCCACAAACAGAAGTGCTTTTGTGTGAGTTGTGGAACCCAGCACCTTACACCAAGGGACCCATGGGAGGTCTCGCCCACCAGTCTATCAGGTAATAAGCAGAGATTTTGGTACTGGCTATGGAACCTACGAGACCGGGAACTAGTTGTCGCCCCCAACCCCCCAAGCTGTGATCTGAGAGTGCATGCAGAACCCCAAGTTGAGCAATCACTTTCAGATCAGAAAACCTTTGGAGACGTCCAGATTTTCAGAGGAAAAGTTCCAACAGTACATTAGAGGAAAAAAAAATGAGTTTGTATCCATTAAATTGGGAAAGAACTTGTCTTTATCAGCATTACTGCTTCCCAAAGGTGGAACAGTATAGGGCTAAATATATGGCCCATGTTTTCTCCCACAGGGAAAAGGGAGAGCCCTTGAGTGAATGCCCAGTTTTCAAATCTGTGCAGGACTCTGCTGAAGAGACTCATTCTTCTTTCATGGCATTCAGAGCATTACTGAGAGAGCTCTATGACTGGGGAGAAGAGGAAAATCGGGGCAATAGCATATAAGATTCCCAGAGCAGAGCGCATGAAAGGGATACAGTTCCTGCAGATGTGTTCTGGACTCAGACACAGGTTAATGAAAAATCAGGTTAATGAAAAATCAAGGATACATGACATACCCAAAAGATCACAATAATCTTCCACTAACCAAACCCAAAGACATGAAAATGTATGATTTATCCAATAAAGAATTCAAAATAGCTGCCTTAAGGAAACTCAATGAGCTACAAGGAAATACAGAAAGGGCTCCTGGGTGGCTCAGTCGTTAAGCATCTGCCTTCGGCTCAGGTCATGATCCCAGGGTCCTGGGATCGAGCCCCGCATCGGGCTCCGTGCTCTGCGGGAAGCCTGCTTCTCCCTCTCCCACTCCCTCTGCTTGTGTTCTCTCTGTCAAATGAATAAATAAAAATCTTAAAAAAATAAAAAGAAAAACAAAAAAAAGAAAATACAGAAAGAAAATTTAATGAAATCAGAAAAAGAACACATGACCAAAATGAGAAATTTAACAAAGAGATGGAAATCATGGACAAGAATCAAAGATAAATTCTAGAGCTGAAGAATTTAATGAAATAGAAAACACAGCAAAAGTTAGACCAAACAGAAGATAAAATCACTGAGAAGATAGGAACTTCAAAACAACCCAGTCTGAAGACAAAAAAGAAAAAAACAGTAAAAAGAGTTAAGAAAGCCTATGTGATCTATAGGACACCTTCAAAACAAAACAACAATATCTGCATCAGTTCCACAAAGGGGGCAAAACCTTATTTAAAGAAATGATAGCAGAGAACTTCCCAAACCTCGGAAAAGATCTGGACATAATAAATAGATCACCCCATTATTTTAATCTGAAATGTCCCTAAGACACACTATAATAACACTAGCAAAGATCAAACTGTAGGAGTGCTGACAACACTGACTCCATCTTTGGCCCTCCATCTTGTTCTTCTTGTTCACTTGATGACCTCTGTTGAAGCTACATGTTCTGGGCCCTGGAAGATTAACATACATCCCTTAGAAATGCCCATCAAGGCCAGGATGGGGGGAGGCTTGCTTTGACCTCCCATGAATCTGTTAGAGATAACATAGTCTCACCCCTTCCTGATGCACAGGTGGTGCCATAAGATGTAATTAAAGATTAACTGCCAATTAGATACAGGCAAGCCCTTTGAAATGCATGCAAACCCTCCGTGATCTCACTACAATGCCCTTCTGTGTGTCCCCTCCCTCTATAAAATCTCTGGACTAATGTCTGGGTCATTCTCCACCCGATCCCCGATCAGTAAGTTCCCCTGAATAAAACTCTGTAAACTGTATGAAGTCGCCTGCTTTGTTTCCCAGTCTCAAAGTCCCTTCTCCATTTGGGGGATGATGTAGGAAAGACATCAGGGTTCAAAGCCGACGGCCAAGAAAGAATTCTTGAGACATCTTTGGTGTAAAAAGGTGATTTTATTAAAGCACGGGGACAGGACCCATGGGCAGAAAGAGCTGCATGGGGGTCATGAGGGGTGGTGATTATATACCCACAAGTTGGGAGGAGGTTTAGGGATAGTGGAAGTCTCCAAGGAATTGTGAAAACAAGGTTTTCAGGACCTTGAAGGGACTTAGCCATTGTTGGGAAAAGGTCATTTATTACCGTCTAATAAAATCTTAGTCCTGAGACCCTTCAGATGGGTCATATGCTTGGGGGATGATTGCCAACACATATCTTGCAGGGTTTAGAGAGAAAGGAAAATTTCTGAAGGAATTTTTATATGTTAAAGCAGACTTACGGGGGGGGGGGTTGGGCTAAGTGGGCCTTTTGCCCTTAGCAAGGTGTTGACATTGAGGCAGTTGAGTCCCTGGAGGAATTGTCACTCTGCCTGTTTCAAGGACTTGTCCATGGGCTGTGAGTAATAAGGACATTTAATAATTTCTTTTCTTTTCTTCTGTCTCTGTTTCCCACATCAGGGGATACTTTACTGTCCCTCTCCTACCATCTAACACAACACAGAGAGAGAAACCTAAAGATATTAGAGAAAATTATATATAACCTACAAAGGAACCTCCGATGGCGTTTCTCAGCAGAAATCTTACAGCTGGAAAGAGACTAGGATGGTATATTCAAAGTGCTGGGATTCTGAGACATGATCACTGGGCACAGGTTTATCTACTTTTGGCTTCTTCTTACCAAGGAACTAAAGATACCTGGGTCCATTGGTAAACAGGTTTGCCACACTGAAAAATCTACTATGAGGAAGAATATACTTCTAGAATTGTGAAATGTATTCATAAAATAGCCAATTCACAGACTGCTTGTGGAACAGACAATCCATAATTGTTTACTTCTTAGTTTTCACTAGAAATTAAGGTCCCTAAGGGTTAAGAATTCTAAACAATACATGTCATTAAAACTGATAGAAATAACAAGACTAAAAGGAAACAACTGTTATTAAAAGGCTAAGAAAAAGTACAATTTTTTTGGATAAGGACAGATACGAAGAACATATTTTTTGTTAAAGAAAAAAAGTGTAACTGTGTCCTAGAGTAAAATGACTGGTTGTTCCAGGATAAGAAAGAGGTAAAACCTGAATGGATGGGAAGGTTGTAGAAAAGGAGTCTTGGGAAAGGAATTTTCTGCGTGAGCAAGCAGGCTAAGACTGGAATGAATTTAAGTTTTTAAAGAATGAGTCTAAATATCACAAATACACATGCAAAATTAGAATTCGGTTTTCTCCCTGTTAAAAGGACAAACTTTTCGTGAAATATTGGTCTATAGAGAGGCTGTGAAAGGTTTGTCTTTACTTTTTAAGTAATCTGCCCAGAAAGCAAAGATTTTGTGTCTTATCAAAGTAATTTTCTGTGCTTAAGTGTCATCTGTATTAAGATTTTAATTACTTAGGAGAAGGGAGTCTTCTATATTTCTGAGTTAAATCTTGTTCTCAACTATGTAACCTTTTGGATTTGCCTTTAAAATCTTGTGTTGCCACTTTGGTTATGTGAATCACTACTATTTCATAATGATCTATGATCCTATTTAGTCAAGTGCTCAAAATTTTTGACATTTTGACAACTTCCCAAAATCAAATTCTAAATGGTGTCTTTGCCATTATAACAACCTAGATTTCTCTGAGGGTCCCTGGAAAATCTCAAAGGATTTGTCTCTTACATTGTAAAAAACAGATGTAGAACGCAATATGTTTATTTGGCATGTTAAATTACATGGGAAGCATTGACAAATGAGTGATGATAAACCTTCTTAGGGTATTAGGGAGCAAGAGGAGGCAACCCCAAGATGGGCCCCTTTGGCATAAACATTATTTTGAGTTAAAAGTAATCAAAACCCAGGGGTGGCTGAGTGGCTCAGATCACCATCCCAGGGCCCTGGGATGGAACCCCGCATTGGGCTTCCTGCTCAGCGGGGAATCTGCTTCTCCTTAGCCCTCTGTCCCCACCCCCCACCCACGCTCTAAATCTTTTTTTTTTTAAGTAATCAAAACCCAGCAGATGCAGGAAAAGCTCTCTGCCTCCCCCACAACTGCCTAAATTTACATTGTAAAGGAGAGCCTGTAACGGGAAGAAAGCTAGCAAAAACACTCCCTTTTACCTAAGGAACTCATCTGCATAATATGGCAACCTTGTTTTTCCAAACACCCCCTTTCACCTCCTTGCTAATGGTCTTTCTCCCCCTTTGTGTCCTCAGACGCCCCCTCCCCAACACCTCTCCTTAGCTCTTAAAAGCTTCCTGTTGCCTAATTGTCTTTGGAATCGCCTGTCTGTATGGATTCCCTGTAAGTACACCTATTAAATTTGATTTTTTCCTGTTAATCTCTCTTACGTGGGTTTGATTCTAAGTCCAGCTAGAAGGACCACAGGGCAAAGGAAGATCTTCCTTCTCAACAGGTGTATGCGTATGGATATATGTTCCAATATGTCCCAATTATCTTAAACTGTTTCACACCACAGAAATAACTACATTTCCTTATCAAATGAACTCTCATCACATCTTTAACCATGGCCATTTTTTAAGTCTTTCGTCATTTACAGTCATTGTTTTACTCTGATCCTTTTGCAAATGTGCTTCATCTTCAGAGAGATACACAATGCTAAAAACTCTGGCAAGTAGTCTAGAATACAGATTTCACCTAACTTCAAGATCATAAAACTGAACTAGGTAAGAATTTCCAGAACTAATGAAAACACTGGACTCGAGCAGAACAAGAATTAACAACATGGGACTGAATGAACTGAGGAAGATTATAATTTTTTCTTACAACTTTTTCTTTGAAACGTTGCTGGTTCCTTAATATTTTTTTTTTCCTCCAGATTTAAGAAACCTCTTTACTCTTACGCTACTTGTGACTTACAGTAAAAATACAAAATACATTGGGGAACCAGGGAGGGGAATTGGGACTTGGAACACTTAGGTCAGTGAAAAAAACAATAACCTAACTGGTAAACGTCTGCTTTTACCAAACATGAACAGTTATGCTGATATTCACGTCCTTTATTTTCACTTTTCCCCCACGAAATGAACGTTTGTTCAAATATCCCGTTTCAAAGTCCTGGACACTCAAGACCAATCCAAATGACACTACTGTTTATGAACAATGCTTTTTTTGTTGTTGTTCCTATGCCGTAAATCCCAAGGGCAGGGGACCAGAGGCCAGGCCTGATGATAAAATCGGTCTCAGGGAGACGAGGAACAGACTGTCAGGGGGTACGCTTGCAGCTCCAGAGGCTGGAGCGCGTGCGAGGGCCCCCGGTAGAAAATAAATCTGCATGTCAACCGCCACTACAGCCCTGATAGTCACTTCCACGCGCCAAGAAATAGAGGCTTCATCAATGTATCTCAAAGGCATGAGGGGCCAAGAGGCGCCTATCAAAAGGCAAGCTGTCAACAGAACAGAAATCCATAACCCTTCCTCTAGGACGCAGGACTTGCTAACAGAACGTGCGCCCACAAGCCGTTCTTCCCCGATTCCCTCGCGCTCCCAGGTTGGGACGCGCGCGGCGCCGGGCGCGGAGAGGTGACGTAAGCGCGTCTTGGGGGCGGGGCGGGACGGGTGGACGCTACCATCGCCACCACCCCCCCCACAACCTGGCGCGGCCCAAGGCTCGGCCGGCGCCGACCGCCGACTCACCTTTCCGTCGTTGTGAAAAGGGAGGCCAAGCTCGTCGGTGGTGGGTGGGGGGCGAGTACAGCCCGTCTCCTCGGCCGCTCCGGCGGCGAACACCGCGGAGGCAGCGGCCTCGTAGTCCGGGAAGGGGTTGGTGAACGCCCGCTCCTCCATCTCTGCTTCCCCGCCCAGATGGAACTTCAGTCTCTTTGACATGGTCTCGCCCATCTCAGCCGCGCGCTCTTTCCCTACCCCTGGGGCCGCGCGGCACGGCGAGCGGGCGGGGACAAACCTCCTGGCGAGGCGCTTCGATTCGAGCAACGCTCTGGGAGCCCGGGAGTGCTCCCGGCGCCGCCTCTCTCCGCGACCCTGCGCGGCGGGGCTCGACGGCTTTCTTTACGAAGGCTGCCAGCTGCGAGGACGAGCGGGGCTTCGGAGCGGGCAGGAGCCTCTCTGGGGGTGGGGGCCGGCCTCGCAGCGGGGCGCCGGCACATCTGGCGGCAGCTGGTGTGCTGCACGTGGTGCCCCCGCCCCGCCCGGACGCCGACTGGGCCGCCGATCCCCGGTGCCGCGGGCTCGGGTAAAGCCGCCCGGCCGGGAGCGAGCAGGCTCCGCGGGGGGCGCTCAGGCCGGAGCCTCCGCTGCGCTAGGCAGCTCAGAGTCCGCACACGCCTGGCCGCATCGCCCCTTCGCCGCCGCCGCCCGCTCTGAGGCTGCGGCCCCCGCGGGGACAGGGACCCGCGGCTTGCACAGCCGGTCCGCGGCGACGCGCACGGCAGGGGTCGGAGTCTCCGGGCTCTGGAATCGCTCCCGTGATCGCCGCGCCCGGCTCCTCTTATGCGTCCGAGACCCTCTCCAGATTTTCAGAGAAAGCCGAAGGACCGCGCGTGGCGCTTCCCGCAGGAAAAGCCTGTAGAGAATAATTCGCTGTCATTCAAAGTGTGTGCCGTTTGCAGACCAGGGAAAGCGCGTCCCCAGACGCGCCATCATCAGTCTGCATTTTCACCAGCCGACAGGTTCCGCGGATGTCCTCTGCCCCCGGTGCGCCAGCCACGCGAGCAGCAGCAGCTCTTTGATATTAAGGAAAACAAAATTTCTTCTAAAGAAAAGCATTTCAAAACAGCCTAAAACACTGCAAGGATAGTGTCTCCCAGGGGCAGGGGGGGGAAACAGTCCCTCCTATTCCTCACGGTTGGGAGGGGGGTGTCTGGAGGAGGAGCCACAGGCCTTTTTTTTTTTTTTTTTCTTTTCACGTTTTATTTCAGTCCCTTTGTTTGAATAAACATATCTTTGGTAACAAGAGGTAATGTTAAGCATACTTAATCATCTAAATATTTAATTGGCCTGAAAGGTTCCTCTTTCTTATTTGCCCCGGGAACATAACATGCATAGTAAAAGGACACAAATAAATCGTGCCATTTATGTAATCACAGTATGATCAACAACAGTCTTTGTTGGTTCTCTTTGTTCTTGTCACTTTAATTATTTGGGACCAAATAGATGTAATGATTTCTCCTTGAGGAAAATATCTTATGCCCCCCACTTCCAATTAAATATTGATTGAATGCCAGATGATGCTAGGTGATGACGAATAGACATTTAAAAAGGTAATTTCTGCCCTTCGGGTTCCTACAGTTAGTGGGTGAGAAAGGTAAGGATTACAGCATAGGAAGAGAAAGTTGTTTTTTATTCTGGAACCAAGCAGAATGCTTTAGTATAACAAAAAGTGACAGTAGATAGATAGAGGAAAACACAGTATCATACAGGAAGGGATCAATCCTCCTGCCTCTGGCCTGGCCCCCCACTACTGCCTGTACTATTGTCTCCCCCAACTGTTCATGTGAAACACCCCCTATGATGGGATGGCCACCGGCTATTACAGTGTAGGGGGACATCATTTTAAAGGGATTACTCAGCATAACTATGCTCAGAGTTCAAGGAAACAACTGTAAAACAGCGTGCCCATATAGCTGCATCCCTTGAGGCCTGCTCCACTTTCTGCTTCATTTCCTTGTCCTGGGGTCCAGCCCTCAGTGAAGGAAATTTTCTTACTGCTCCCAATTTTCATGCTTTCACCTGGAGGAAGTTTAATCCCCTAACTACTGATGTTCAGCTGCTTTAGGAACCATCACTCTCCCACCTCAGGGACCTCACTAGACGAAATAACCCACAGCAGATGTTCACCAAAGCCTGTGTTATTTAGACTAGAACACCACAGGCAGGTGTGGCAGAAACAGCCAGGGCTGGCTTTGCTATGGTAAGTCTGGTGACCTTTGCTCTCTCCTCAAACCCATTCCTGTGAAGTGAAGATCGTTTTTCTCATTCTTTAAAATTTGGTGGGTACCTGTGGACAGCTGTTGGCAAGTACACAAACTTACACGGAGGACAACCAATATTTTCAAAGACTAAAAAACGGAAAACCAATTTAAGGAGTTGGCATCTTTTCCTAAATACTGTCTGATCTGCAGGTCTGCTGTTAGTGGAAATTTCACTTACACTATTTTGCAGAGGAGCGACAGATCTTTCTTCACCCTCCTGGAAGCCTCCAGGAAACAGAAGCCTCCTTCTGTTTAATACAGAAGATGTGGGGATCTGTTCTGCTGCCCTTTCAAGCTGCAGGACCAATATCCTGTGGTGGCCACTCTAGTAGCACAAAGACTTGGGCCAGGGCCTTGAAATTACAACTTTTTATTCACTTAAGGACAAACCAGATTCTTAGGGTGCCCTTCCCTACTCATCTATGTAAGTAAGGGGGGACAGTACAAGGATTAATGTCAAAAACAAATACGAGTGGTGAGGACAGTAGGCAATTCCTGACAAAGGAATCTAACTGGGAGAGGGGAACATCTGTGTTCACCTGGCTGAAATTAGGACACCACTCAAGGCTGGGCACTCTGAGAGGGTCCAGGGAGCGAGGCTTCCTCTTGCAGGAGATAGGTTTTCTTGAGAAAGTGAGTGGGGCTGCATGACAGGATCTTCCAGGTAGCGTGAATGTTGGGAAAGGAGTCAGGTGAAGGAGCATCTCTTGAGTACATGTGAAGGCCTGAGGTTTTGTTTGTTTGCTTGTGTTTTGATTTATTAAATATCTTTTTGTTTATTCTTCACGTGTGTGTCAAATGGCAAGCTTCTAGATTTTTCTGTGTTCCTAAGCCACTGAGGGGGTCCTCCAGTCCTATCTGTGTTTGCCAGAGCTGCCCAAGCCTCCATGATGAAGACCTTTCCTTTGGGTAGTACAAGGGGAAGCCCCAGTAGGCAGACCACCAAATTCTCTTCTTACACAGCAATTCCCTTTTGAGATTTGTCCATACATCAGGGTCCAGGTTGTTGGCTTGTTGGGGAGGAAACAGGCTAGCCCAGCGGTACAGGGGGGAGATTTGCTTTACCCCTATTCTCTGTTGATACATAAGATGGTTCCTTCCAACTGTAAGCCATATATGCTATACAGCTCTAATTTAAGACAAATTTGATCCTTTAAGCCAGTAACTGGTTTTCAAAGTATCATCAGGGACTTTTGGGGGGCAGCTATAAGGCCAGGCTTGCTTGCTTGCTTGCTTTTTCTTTTTCTTTCTTCTTTTTTTTTTTTTAATTTTGAGAGTAATTTAATATGTTAACATAAACATACAACTATATTCTAATGTCATTATTTGAAATATAAAGAAACAGATCTTCACGGAACTAAAATAACTCACAGACCATGAGGTTTTTTCCTTTTCCTTGTCTTTAAATTTAGACAAGTTTGTACCATGATGTAACAAATAAGGTAAATGCCATGAATATGAAAGCAGCAGTTTGCAATATACCCCATCTAGAACCCAGGGGAGGTGCACTAGACAGAAGTGGTAGTCATCAGTATAGCATAAAGAATATCGTCGATAATACTGTAATAACTGTATGGTGACAGATGGTAACTATACTTATCATCGTGGGTCTTACACAACGCATACAATTGTCAAATCAGTATTTTGTGCACCTGAAACTAATATAACATTGTATGCCAACTGTACTTAAATAATAAAAACTAAAACAACAACAACAAACCAATTAGGTAACATCATGAAAAGTTGGTTTGCAGAATTAAAACTGTCCATTTAAATTTCTTTTTATGATCGGAGGTCTCATATTGTCTCCAGTTTTCTTCATTGTATTTTGTGTGAAATCCATCATAGAATGGGAATTTTTGGACCACCAACAATGGCAGCACACACTGGGGTTGTCTTTCTGGATGTGAAGGTTTACTGTAGATTTGCTGCAGTGATCTTTAACATCAAATCTTTTGTAAACTAGATAAGCAATTGCAGCTGTTCTGGTCGCACTGGTGACTCTGCTGAAACCCATTCAGCTGGTGCTCTGGAAGTCAGACTCATTGCCTGCAAGGCATGTGCACAGGATGCTGAGCACAAATGAGCTTGTGTGGACAGTGGAGTCGAGGTGCAAGAGGAGTTCTCAGACATTCTTTGCCTTTTTCACTGTACGCTCATGAGTGTACAGTGGGGTTTTCTAGAGGCAACGTGATATAAGATGTCATAGCAGATTTAATAGAGAAGCAAATATGAGAGTTTAGCTATCTTCTCTTAGCCAGGTGTAAAGAAATTGGTAAAAATGTAAAATAATGCCACTTTCCTCTTGCACATTATTTTGGTTTTGAAAATAGTTACGTTCCATAAAAATATGTTGTTTACATTAACCTATAGCATGTAATTTATGTTATGTTGCCAAATTAATAAATAATTAACATTTTTCAGTAATAATTTCTAAACTGGTACATATTAATAGATATTGTCCATACAAAAATTCTTTGGGATTCTCAATAAATTTTAAGTGTAAGGGGATTCTGAGATCAAAAATTTAAGAATTGCTGCCTTCAAACCTATGGAATGGGAGAAGATATTTGCAAATGACATACAGATAAAGGGCTGGTATCCAAGATCTATAAAGAATTTATCAAACTCAACACCCAAAAAACAAATAATCCAGTAAAGAAATGGGCAGAAGATATGAATAGACATTTCTCCAAAGAAGAGATACAAATGGCAACAGACACATGAAATAATGCTCAACATCATTCGGCATCAGGGAAATAGAAATCAAAACCATGATGAGATACCACCTCACACCAGTCAGAATGGCTAAAATTAACAGCATAGGAAACAATAAATGTTGGCAAGGATGTGGAGAAAGGGGAACCTTCTTACACTGTTGGTGGGGATGTAAATTGGTGCAGCCACTCTGGAAA